ACTTTCCACTCAGTTTCGTCATACTCGATGTCACGCTCAACGTTGGACTTGTACGCAGGCATGCTTTCGGCCCACACAAGCCATCCCGGGAAGTCATGGTCAACATAGTACTCGGCCTCAGGTTTGGCAAAGCTCGATAGATACTCCTTCGTCCAGCCCTTGTTGTGCCGCTTGGTAGCCACATTAATCTTAGAATGGAAGTGTTGATGGCCCAGGATGTAATTCTTGTAGTCATGGTTGCAAATAGCCCTAACATCTACCATGGTGAACAAGGCGATGAGAGCTTGGGAATACATGCCGCGCAACCCCGGATGGTCATCGATAGACCCTTGAGTTACAAGGTCTATTAGATTCTCACTTGCAACGTAATCAAATCTAAGACCCATGGTGATCACGATGGTGGCTGCTCGGCTGGCGACTTTCCAATGCGATACTCTGGCCAAATTCACCAGTTCTTCAGCCAGATCAGCCTTCTTCTTTTCAATGATGGCTCGCTTGCTGTTGATATTCTTGCGCTTATGCTGGATCTCACCCTGAACATCCTTCTTCGGAGCGATCGCTTCAACGATGTTCCGATCAAGAATGGCCATCCTTTCCATAGCGCGGCCATAATCCATGATCTGATACACCGCGCCCGAGCAAATTCTTTGTACGGAAGGCTTGTCGACGGCACTTGCGTCGATGAAAGTTCTTACCAAAGTTGGGGCGTACTTCCAATGGCGGCCTACGGTCTTCGCGACGCTGCTCAGGAGTAAAGAAAACAATGCACCTTTGATCCGGGCGTGGTCGTTTTCTTTGATGCCTTTCTGTAGAGCCTTGATTAGGGGCGGGATAACAAGAAGGCGAGCCCCCCACACAGCCTTAAGAGCAGACTCTCCTGCACTTTGAGCATTGCGCCGAGTCTCGGTATAGAGGGAGACGCAGGATTCTGCGATATCCAGGAGCAGGATCTCGTCTAGTTGAGACCGCCGCCGGGGTGCTGCATTGTGCCTCAGGCGCTGTAAATGGTAGACATTGGCTCTGCGAACCAACAACGGACGAGGGTAGTCTTTGCGGACACCACTCATTTTGTAGGGATGAATGTCTGCGGCGAGGAGACGCGTGACCCTGTCAAGGACATGAGCAGATCTTTCAATGCCAACGTCCACAAACCATGACCGATAAGCTGAGTACAGAGCGCTGAAGCAAGGCACATCATCCTCTTGCTTGTCCGACAAGAATCTATGCACCTCATGAAGAACCCAGCCTGCTCTCTCCCGGATGTCATGGATAGTAGTGTACATCGGATCGGTCTCATTTAGTGAATAGCCGGTAGGGTACGAAAATGATTCTCTAACTGTAGCTTCGTCCGAGCTGTCAAGTAATGAATCGGAGTCTTCATCCTGGGAGCCATGTTCACCATCGGCCATATCGATATCGGCCATTGATTTGGACGACCCGTTTACTCCATTCGTTTTCGTCTGCGACGCGGCCTTTGGATCAAATAACACAGAGATACCAGAAATGATAAGTCGTAGTAGAACCAAGTTCCTTGTAACCTCATCCGACCACGCTTTACCACTTCCATCTCGTTTGACACTGGATGTCTCAGTGGTGAGATCGGTCAATTGTTTGAGGGCGGACTCAGCCTGGCTCTTAAATAGCTCGACGGCAAATTCAAGTTCTTCACGTTTTGGCACATGCCATTTTACGGTCAAATTATTGGGATCTGGCTGATAGCTCCAAAGCTCAGGTTGTACACCCTGAGCAGCGACATCGGGCTCATACAGGGAGTAGTCCGCAGTATAAGTGCCCGTGAGGTTTAAGAGAAGGTGATGCACAAAGTTTGAGATATGAACAGTCGGTATACCCCTACATTTCTGTTGCATATACACCGCAATGTCGAAGAGCTCCTTCCTGTGAGCTAGCACAGCATCGCCGACATGAACAACGCACATGCTCAGCATACTGACATTCCAAACCAAGCCACGGTCTCGGGGGAGGACATCCGTTCCAGTGGTCCTAGTGGAGCCTGCGCCATTGTCGTCGATCTCCGTACGGATGGCCTGTATCAGCACTGGAATAAACCGCTTCAGAGCTTTTTCTGGGTTGACCTTGCAAACCGAGTTACAGATAAAGGCCATCGCATCCCGCGCTTGATGAATAACGTGATTGGACACGAAGTCTACAACCTTCGACAAGGCAATATCGTAATACTCGGGGGAGAGGGACGACAGAAGCGGCATGAATGTGGCAGGTAGGGTATTCACAATGTTCTCTTCGGGAGAGCCGTTGCGTACCCTGCTCACGTCTGGTAGATTCTCCAGGAGAGTAAAGACTCGCCCAAGAAACGATATGATGAAGTCACCGAAGCCACAGGTTGAAGAACGGAGGATCATTTCCTCGGTTTCATCATCCAGATCCCGATCATAATTGAGTTGTACCTCAACGCCCTCTTCTTCCATACGCTCCATTTCACCCGAGATCCATTGCATCGCCAGCATGTTACAGTTTACGTCTTCCCTCCCTTGCGTTAGGTCAGCCAAGGGTATGTTATAACAAGCAGACTGGATGAATGACAACGCATGCAGAGATTTCTCAAGATCATTGGCATCGACACCGGGCAGCGCAAGTCCCAGTAGAGTTGTCATGTGACAGCGATATCCCTTCGTCCTTGAGATAATTCGTGAAAGGACTTGAAGGGCGCGGAGCGATGACGTCGTGCGGTGAACTTCTACTAAGCCTTGAAGAGATGGATATATACGTTGCAAAGCGCCGGGAAGGATAAGATGTGGCTCCAGGAAGGCCAAACTTTGTAGCGTAGACAATGAGAAGCTCATTGCTGTACCGCTTTTAGCATAGATACCCATGAATATGACATCACGGAGACAGAGTACAAAGCGACGCTTCAGGGGCTCTGTCAATCTTCGTTCTGCCGGCACTTCCATCTCCCCGCTTTGCTCTCGATTCCATCGCATAATGAAGAAGTCGGCGAGGTAGTAGACGAGCTGTGACAAGGTTTTCGTCCAACTGCCAGAGTTAGATGGATGGAAGAAAGTTTCGACTGCCTGTACAAGGCCCTCTAATTGCGTCAAAATAGACTCTTCGGCGTCGAGGCATGCGGGAGAGAGGGACATCACGACCCATCGAGCAATGTGATGTGCCACTGGATGCTTCCTGGTATCTCGGTCAAGCATAATGCCTAGCCCAGACGAGATATCCACCAGCGCACTGTAAGGAGAGGTGGATTGTCCCACAGGAATCTCCAACAATCTCAGGATCGCCGTGAAGATGAGGGACGACTGTTCCTTTGTGAAAAGACCAAATTCGGAGAATGGTATCTGCTGGGCAGGCAATGAATCACGAGCTAGCCTCGAAAGATAGTCAAGGAAGGTGGTATCAAATGTTTTTGACCGATTGACTAAGGCCCAAAGATGAAAGTACGTCGGCAAGTAATGATGTGGCAGTAGGTCTTCCCTGGTCTCGGGTGGGGGTGACGTTGGGAGTAGTAGGTTTATCAACCCGACTACGACAAACGCACCCTCCGAAAAGGACGTGGTATAATGAGGAAGAAACTCTTCCAGCATAGCTGGCAGCTCACACGGGTCAATGTACAGCTGGACGAATGCACAGAGCTTCGTCAGTGTCTTGACATTTCTCTTCAGGTTCGTAGAATGCACCAAGCCCGACTCTGTAGGTAACACAAAAGCTTTTAATTCCCTGTAAAGAGGCTTCCAATCCAGAGTCAGGTCCTTAACGGGCCTCAGATAATGCTTGCGCCTGTGCCGATGTCAGTACCATGATGGGCAACAGTAGTCATTTGCAAGTTTGGCTTACTTGGTGAGGAACATAAACATGCTAGCAAATCGCTCTGAAACATTTGGATCGATGCCCGGGGCAAGAGAAAGCTCATAGTATAGCCTCACAAGGTTGATCCGGTCCGTACGGGACGGATCAAACTTGAGCGACAGCCATCCTCTAAGCTCCCGAGTCCAGTGCACGGCACCAGGACTGAAATCACCCGCCTCTACAGCAACATAGAGTTGGGTTAGTATCTCCCGCAGACTCCGTTCCCTCTCGGTTTCATTTTCGAGTGGATATGGTAGATATTTGAAATAAGGATAGGTGCGAGGGCGGACTCGTGCCTTGGGTTCGCCATTCCCGTTCATCCCTACAGGCTCAACCCCCGGCGAGGTGGCTCGCGATACTTCGTGCGCATTATGAAAATTTTCTGATGTTAAAATGGCCTTCGCGGTTGATTGATCCATCGTCATACAATAGGATCGATGATCACTGCGGTGCAGATGTTGGGGATGAGGGAGGTTCGGAAGAGCTCTAGAAGACTCAATGTTAGTAACTACTTTCGTTCGAGGACATCAATAACATCAGCGCGTAGATGGGCCTTTAGCGGTATGGACTTACATTGGACATGAAGATTGTAGCCCAATGTCCAGCTGTGAAGATCGATGACAAAGAGTGACTTACTGCCAATTATGTTCGCATGGGCAATTGGACGGATGGGTCTTGGCTAGTAGGACGACCGGGTACAACAGTAGAAGCTTTGGGACGTTTCAGAAGCTAGTACGAATGATGGGGAAAGTCCTCCGACAAAGAAAGATGTTGTAGAGGGAGTTGAAAGGAGGAGTATGTGCTGTTCGTGTCGCAATAAAATACAGCCTGGGCAGTTTAGAGGATCATTCAGTTTTAAGCCCAAGTGTAGCAGTCGGAAGAAGGTAGAAAGAGGTATTATCGCTCAGTGAGTTAAGTTTCTGATGACATAATTCCACGTAACTGCACCGCAGCCTAACCCTTGGCACTAAGCTCTTTCCGTCTTGTCTACCCAAAACGGGAAGTCTTCCATGAGAACAACATTTCTATACAATGCTTGTATCTTTTGTTCTATTTCACTTGAGCATGAAATCTTCACATATAAGCAATGGGGGTGGAGTTGAATATTATATATTAAGCTCTGACTATTAACTCATCTTTTAGTGACAGGACATTTGCAGTATCGACAAATCCTAAGCTGGTGGCAGGAAGGATCCAAAAAGAACCGCCTGAACAATGGCATAGATCACTATCCCTTGTATCGCAATCGTGAAAGTTTGGCTGCGCTTGGCAACTCTACTTGAATCCGCAGCCTGGCCGAATGTCTGACATATAAGGTACCAATACCAGAGAGGGTATCCAGAGGATATCCGATTGATGATCTGAACGTGATAGCTAGTAAAAGCCATCACGGCAAGTAGGCCATTGGGCACCGCAAGCCGTGTCAGTACTGGAGTTGCTGTATCTGATGGCCATGTTATATTTAACGCCCAGAGAGAGGAGCGACACAACAAGAACAACATGGGAAAAGCCAGGATAAAAAGAGGCAGGTTGGAAAATGTCCAGTACCGTAGGAACCCTACATTCCTGCAGAGAGTGTCAGTAATTGATAGCTCCTAGATCATGGTGTGTTAGCCACTGACCAATAATGAACCTGAACCCAGCCATAAATGCTAGGTATGAGCTGCCCACACCACGGTCGCAAAGGTTCGTCAGACCTGCAGAATGCTGTGTACGCAATCCACTGTGGTACAATGAGCCCCAAGGCTACCACACAGCCACCGACCACAATGACACCCAGGCGAAGCACACTGCCCCCGGATATACCTTGGGAGATAATCTTACGCAACTGTAGCAGCGCGTCGTATGCAAATAAGGCTCCGCTAAGGATCCCATTGCTGCGGACTGCTGTAGCTATTGAGAACAACGCGGCCGCGAGCAACATTTTCGCATTGCTGGACGCCCGCTTACCAGTGTTGGCATCAAGCAGGGAGCATGAATATAGATAATACCCAGTAATGTTGAGAAAGGAGAATAATGATTCTCCGTAGGGCGCAGAGAGAAATGCCCCAGCAGGGCATATAATGTGTAAGGTAGCAGCAAGAAGGCTGATTAACCTTCCTGAGGTGGTGCCATGGCCAAAGATATTGACGGATAGTCCGTATATGGCCAATATCGAAACGTAATGGGCAATATGAGAGACGGCACTTGCAACCAGTGCGATTTTAGCAACACCGTCCAGGCCACTGAGTTGAGGAAGAACTTTGCCTACTATTAGCAGCCGTTTACCCCAGGGCATGAAGAAACGTATGTACCAGATGTTAGAAAGGAGAGGATTCTAGTGTAACCATAGCCAAATGCCCATTCTTGTTCGAAGACATAGCCATCCCGCACAATATGCACAAAGTATATTGAATCCCATCTGACAAGCTTTAGAGGAAACGAGAAGGGCGCATGCCTAATGACTTCCCCTCTGGCATCAGAAGCGGCGGACTCCTGGTAAGGAAGCAGCCCTGTGGAAGTATCATAACCAGGCCCCGGGCAACCAATGATAACCAGAAACAGAAGAGCCTTCCATAACCAGAACGCTAGTGATAGACTCCTAATGGGATTGTTGGGATTCAAGAGTCGTGGGCGGGCTAAGGCCAGCCCGGCAGCCATCCCTTACAAGATCCCTAAGGGATTTGCCAGATATTGAGGTAGTCTAGGATTAGGTTCGATCCGTTTCTTCCACCTCATGCCATGTATGGATATCTATGAGGGGTTTTTGGGACTCCAAACCAAGGGTCCACCGACGTAAAACCGTTAAAAAATATTAATAATGATAAGAAGCGCTATCACTGACCGAGGCACTTGCTGAACTGGTCCCCAGTCACGTAGTTTAACTGATGATGTTGGAAGTCGAACGGCAAGTGGGTACTAGTATTCGGATTTTTCGGCAGCATAACTTAAGCGATGCCTTATTCAGCAATCCGATGCATAACTTGAACCAGGTTAACGTAACAGATTAACGACACTAATTAAACTAGTTGCAATCCTTGCAGTCGCCACAATGACGGATCGTGCTTAAATCTGATGGGCTGAAGGCTTAGAGGGAAGTGTCTAAAACGGATGTGTCGATGTCATCATGGATCTTTGGAACTCATGACTGAGTTGGAAGAATGGCCACCTGAACAAGTATCACTACCTTTACCTTACCCATGGCATATACTAGGCTACAATATTATGCCATGAACATCCGAGGTGTAACTTTTACCCACCAAAGAGTGGATGTCCAACCCAGCGAGAATTCTGGAAAGCGGATTAACATGTCACTAACCCTACCTTGGGCCTTGGTATCAACCCGCGGTCGATTCAGCCCTACAAAAAGCCCAGTCCACTGACGGATTCGGAATCTACTTAGTCCAGCACCATGGAAGATTAGCATCTACCTTCCTTTCATCGTCTTCTTTTATTTTCTTTTAAGTTTTCTTCTTTTTATGGAAACTAGCTTATGGTAGAGAGGAAATATTTGGTACTAATAATAATAGGATCATTCTTCACAAACCCCTAGATGATCAACAAATAGCACTCTATTTTAAGTTGCATCATAGCTCTTGGAGATCTATATTGAATATTCCCTCCGGCTTGATTACGACTCCGAGTCCGAGGATGACGGGTCCGATTCCGAGCACTAGTGGAAAGAGTAAGTAATATATTGCCAATGAAATCGATCAGAGATTTCTCTTTAGCGGGATGGAGTCTTGAACACACGCAACTCCAATCTACTACTAGTCCCATCAAGAAGAAAATTAATTTCCCTGAATCTAGGAGGCTACGTTGCAGGCCCCGTCTTGGGTCACGCGCTCGGGATGTGGCACTCCACAATCACTACACAGTCACAGTATGTATGTACTGTACATGTACTATTGTACACACTATAGGAAACTTATAGCGATGTCTGATGTCGCTGTCAAGTCTTGGTATTTTCCAATTTAAACCCCTCGGATGGGGCTACACGATTTCTTGTCGGTGACGATAGCATCTTATGATGATCACTATATGATCCTATGAATGCATATAATCCCTACCGCCTTGTGGAGTATATTCTGCACCATAACCGTAGGGCTGTCACATGGTGACAGATAATTTATGCTTATGATAACCGCTCTGATTATTCTTCGGCTGAAATAATCATTCTATGCAAGGAGAGAGGGGGGAGAAAGAAGACAGAAAAAATGGGCGCACCACCCCCCTGGTGGGGTGGTGTTTCCATCCAGATAACTATGGGCCCTCTTTTTCTGTCTACAGTACTACTGTTACTGTCGAATGTACCGTAATAATGCCAAGGCTAGCAGTACCTCTTGGTAACTTTGGCCAAGAAGAACCCATGGTTTGGAAGTGCCCTTTGACTCTAAGTATAGAATCATGAACTACCGAAGGAAGAAGGTCCCAAAGCATTATCAATCTCGTACAGGGGTAGAGTTTTCAGAGGATCAGTGGCTGATGGATAGGAGGGAAAATTACTCCGTATTTACCTTCACCAGTTATTGCAGCTCTGAGTAATTTAGTTTCTGGATAAGTTATGGGTTGCCTGGCCCAAGCCAAGAGCCTTATCCATGGACAGATACATTAACCGGCAAGTCGGAGGCTCGGACCTCCGTTTGCACTACTATACGTCGTTGTTGTTTGGTGTTCGGGGTACGGAAGGCGGGAGTAGTACTAGTAGTAGGTAGATAGTTACTAGTATAAGGTTAGTAAGCGGTAGTATAAGTCATGACTGATGTCCGAGAGAGAAGATGTGTGAGACAGATGGTCGGGGTTCGACTCCGTAGTACAACTACTCGTAATGAAAAAGTTTCTCTGAGGGGGTCAATTGTCCTCGTGCCTTATAGGGTAACGCTTCTTTCAAACTTGGCACCTGGAACTTGGTGGACAACTCCAGACATGGTTCATAAGGGAAAGAGAAGCACAAAAATTGGAAAAGCATAATTGGATGGTTGACGACGGAGAGTGGGAGTACCGAAAGTTACGGAACAACCAGTACGACGGCGTTCCCGGAACTTGGAAGGTGATCAATCATCCAGTAATACGGTACTAGCGGTACTGGAGCCTCGGGCGTTGTCTAGTCCCGAAGATCGCCGTCTAGACTGGTTTAGGGCATGACTGCGAATCAGTTGCCATCTCGGCGTCCTTAAGGCGAAATTTCCATGGATCGCCCCCTCAAAGGTAAGTTCCGCTAGGTGGGGACTTGTTTTCATGCAAATCTGGCATTCGTCGGGTTTTAGTAGTCATTACTATTCGATACTCTACTAGTCCTACTGACGATACATATCTGCAAAGAACAACAGCTCTGCGGAGCTTCCATGGAACTACCACCGAGGTGTGTAAATATTTGATGATGATGATTATGAGATTATTTCTCATCTCTTAACGCTACGATTTTTGAGGAAGTGGACCACTGACTCAGTGCCTTTGATTTGATTTATTGAATTTTTCTTTTCCTCTTCTTTTTCGTGCCCTGCTTTCATAATCCCCTCGATTTTCTGATTTGATTGATCGTATTACTTGACCGCTATATTGACCCCATCCATCTGACATGCAACCCGATCTTTCTTGAAATTTCTTTTCTTTTTCTTTTTTTTTTTTTTTTTACCCTTCATTTAAACTGCATCCACTCGTTCTCTTTGTTACATACAGTCCACATACCTGAGTATTAAGGCTTTGGTCACCCGCATTGTTCCAACTACAACAGTTCATACAATTTAAACATTCTGCCCCTACTTACACGTCCCTCCCTTGCATATTCTCCCGTTCCGACAGTTGCGTTGCACATTACGATACCTACTTTCCATTGTACAACAATACAAGTCGTGCCCCATCTGACTGCCGCGGGCATCTCCTATTCCTTCCTCTTCAGCCTCGCCTGTCTCCTACCACTTCTTCAGAACGATTGCTGTGCAGGTCACGCCTGAATTCTCACCGATCCTCTCCTTCCACCCTCTTTTCCTTTATTTACTAACTGACACAACCTTCGTGTGTTCATCCCCCACTACGTATAGAGCTTGTGAACAAGTGATCAGCGTGAAGCGCCACGATCGCCGTGTGATATCACTGGGTTTCGGTCCACCGTGGTTTGTCGATCTGTCAATGCTTGCCTTGATGGACGGTCAGAGAGGGTTTCGCATTTCATGAAATAATAATGCTGTTTAATTTGGGCCTGACAGCACATGCAGCAGCGGCTCACGAGAACGACGCTGGCCCTCAACCGGAGTCGCAACTTTCGGGGGGTTTAAATCGTCATTCCTCCCCGCCAACGGTTTCATTTGCGACAATGCCAACCATGGGCTTGGGGAGTTTTTACGGCCGATATAAGGGCTCAGAGACAGAGCGACTCCATAAGGGGCCTCCGCGGGCAATGTCTGCGAGCCCGGTGGCGTCGGTGGTTTCGAGCGATGGAGAGTACTCAATGGCAGGGACAGTTCTCAGTCAATCCCGGAACACCCGCCCGCAAACATTTAGGAAACAATCGTCGCGGCCGAAGACAATCTACCAATTAGCTCACCCCGCGTCCCATGCACGTCATAAGCGATTGAGGCTCCGACCCAAGCTTCTTCTGCAGCTACAGCGAGTATCACAAACCCCACGCCCTCTACCTGTCCTGGATGTATTACCGTCGACCGTATTTTTACCTAGATTATCGCGCAAATTCCCCACGATTTTTCGAGGCAAGAAGGGATTGGGTCCCAATGATTTGATCATCGTGACCAGCGATCTTTATGAACGGTCCGGGGGGGATATTGCTGATAAGTATCTCAGCTCGGACGAGGAACACAGTGAACATCGTGAAGTCGTCGCAACAATTTGCCAACTTCTCAAGGAGGATGCGTTGTCAAAAGGGAAGGCGGAGATTTGTCTTAATTACGGGCCGGTGTGGGAGGCGACACCTCTTCCCAATGGATCCTACGAGTTTGTGGCCAACACCGAAGATGGGATTCAGATCCTGCGATGGGTACTTCGCGGAGCACGGAATCGCCGCATCTCCGCACCCCCTGGAACTACGCCCCAGGCGGACACGAAACGATTTACTTTTAGCGTCATCAACCCCAACACCCGTCGTCATCCCGTCATCGCGACTATGGCTCGTAATCACCTGGAGATATTTGATGAGTACGCGATGCCCACGGCATCCGGACATCCTCTGTCGCCAACGTCTACGATGTCTGTGATCAGCGATGATTCTGAACTGGACGCCTCCTTAGACAAGAAGGTCATTGAGACGGACGATAATCTCCGGACGTTGATCATTATCACCAGTATTTGGGTGGCCTTCCGAGAAGGCTGGTCGCATAATTTCACTTATGATGATTCAGCCGTGACTTTCAACGCAGCACTTTCCCCATCTCGACAGCCATCTCCATCTGCAGCCAGAACCGAGAATGATCTGATACCCGCTGGAAGGGATAATCGTTCGGAAAGGCTGGTATCGAATGGCTCGAGGAACCGCGCATCGGTGCCAAATGGCTCACAACCTAACGCGCTGTCAGACCGGTCCATAGCATATGGTAGTCTGACCAAGCGCTCGAATTCAACAGGCGCAGCTTTCATGGAGCGAACCAACCGGCGTGCTTCTGGAACCGTTGGCCGACCCAAAAGACATAGTTTGCGTTCAAGTCCTCGCGAACTGGACCAGAACGGGAACAGCCCAGTGGAACAAAATAATCGAAGCTCCACAACACAGCCAGCAGCCCCGGTTCCGCCATTGGATAGCTCGCAAGGTAACGATAGCTATCCACTACATCAGCTTGAACCATCCGATCTAAAAGCTAAACAGCTGGGCCGAAGCAGCTCCACGAAGAGATGTCGACGCCGGCTGAGCAATATTTTTGACTTCCTGACTCGAAAGCACCATTAATGAAGCCCGGTGCTTCTCTGATGGCTTGGTGAACCAGGTCTCATACGGTTGTGTGACACCTAATTCGATTCTACGCTCCCTCTAGCCGAGGTGAAGCGGGGTCCCCCTTGGGGTTCCCTTTTGTACATCTTTTCACTCCCGGTGGCCAGGTGCTATGATGGGATTCTGGGGCTAGCCCAAAAATCAATTTGCATACGGTCTCCGTGCTTACTGTCTTTACGCAATACTCTCACCTCTTCGCAGCGCCGTGATCTCTTGATGACCAGGAGTGGCTGTGCCCTTCGTTCTCGACCGAACAGGATTTGTAAATAGAAAGATCAACAATCAGTGGTAAATACACTTGAGATATAAGGCCTTTTATTAGAATCTCCTTTTGTCTTCGGATTGCATGTACCTAAGAGTATCGAATACTCACGCATTTAACGCACGCAGTGATGTAGCTGGGTTTATCATTGACTTAGATACATCCTGATATGAATTATGAAAAAATATACCCTGCACAATGTTCTTTTTTCTTTTCTTTGTCTTACTTTTTCTTCCCTCTCTCTTTTTTCCCCCACGTTTACCGCTCAAGAGCAGACAAAGCCTTAGGAATATATGGTTCCTCCAAATACTTGATCTCCTCATCGGTCAGCTTGACCTTGACACTAGCAACAGCTTCATCAATGCGCTCTTTGCTGTTCAACCCCAAGATGGGATTTTCATTGGGGTGACTCAAAGACCAAGCAATGGACACCTGCGCCATGCTGACACCTTTCTTCTTGGCAAGCTCCTCCACTCGGTCAACGATCGCCTTGTCGGCCTCGGACTCTCGGCTCCGGACAAGGAGATTGAGCGCGGCATCGGTCGACTCACGGGTCGTCGAGCGAGAATTCCACGGCCGTGCCAGCACACCACGCGCCATAGGAGACCAGGGGATCAGACCCACCCCGGAGTCAACACAGTAAGGGATCATCTCGCGCTCCTCTTCCCGAGCCAAGAGGTTATGGTAGTTCTGCATGGAGATGAACTTGTGCCATCCGTTCCGTTCCGCGATGTTTTGGAGCGTTTGGAACTCCCACGCGGCCATCTGGGGGCCGTTAGCATAGCGTAATCGAAACCCAATGAGTCAAAGAACAAGCCGTAAAAAGATACATACAGTACTAGCCCCAATGTATCTGACCTTCCCGCTCTCGATCACATCGTTGAGCGCCCTCATGATCTCCTCACGGGGCGTGTCCCGGTCCAGACGGTGGATCTGCAACACGTCAATGTAGGTGCCCAGTCTGCTCACGCTGGCGTCCACCGCATCGAAGATGTGCTTCCGGGACAGTCCAACACGGTTGACCCAGTCACCGTCGTTCCGGCCTGCGGCGGAGATAGGAGGTTGTTTGCCTCCATCGTCCACCCCAAAATAGCACTTGGTCAGGATGACCACCCGGTTGCGCGGGATGTTGTACTTTGTCAGGGCCTTTCCAATGATTTCTTCGGACCGACCGTGAGAGTAGACATCAGCCTGTTTTTTTTCAATCGAAGGAATTCATGAGTTAGTGTGACAGTTGCTTTGCTTTTTCCTTTTTCTGTTTCTTTTCTTTTCCTTTTCCTTTTCCTTTTTTTTCCTTTTTTTTTTTTTTTTTTTTTTTTTTTTTTTTTTTTTTTTTTTTTTTTTTTTTTTTTTTAATCTCTTTTTTTTTTCTCCGTTTGGTTACCTCGGCAGTTCCTGGTGGCGTCAGAATATTTTTTTGGCCATGCAGAATGCGTTATGTGATTGGGGTGGAGTTTTAACGCACCGTGTCCCAGGTGTTGATTCCACGCTTGTATGCATGCTCGATCAAGGGAAGGGCCTCATTCTCGTCCAGCACCCAGTCCTGCCATTCCTTAGTGCCATAGGACATGGCACCGAGGATGACCTTGGAGATCTTGAGTCCGGAGGTTCCGAGTCTGGTGACTCATTCTTGGTTAACGGGGTTGAGATGTATAACTTGTCTAACTGCTGTGGACGTACCGGGTGTATTCCATTTCGCTGGCCATGATGTTCTGTTTTCTAGATACTGTCTGCGATAGTCAATTGTCAGTCACCATGCGCTTCTCTTTCAACTATGCGAAACAAAGCGGGCGGGAATCATCACGTCACACGTCACTGTGGGGATCCACCGCCGGTCACTTTCTTTCATTCAAGGAGCTTTTCTTTTTTACACACCTTTCACTAATGTGCAACGATTCAGATTTCTCCGAAGGAAGACAAAAAAAAAAAAAAAAAAAAAAAAAAAAAAAAAAAAAAAAAAAAAAAAAAAAAAAAAAAAAAAAAATAGGACACTAGGGAGGGAAAAGATAAAGCTATCGCGAATGATAGAATGCCTTCAAGATATAGGGGATAGAATGGCACTGCTGTGGTTTCCCGGCATAAATGATGCTGCGCCAGCTCCACTCTTTTTCCATCTGCCGAATGTATGAAGCGATAGACTGCGAAAGCCGACGGATAACCGATTACACCGGGCACCTCCACGGGAACGTTCGGTCGTTTGCCTGGGTGGCTTCCCTGAGTTCGGGGGGTGTTGTCGGCATCGTTGCTATTGCTTTCCTCGTTATGAGAAGCTTGTTGATGGGTGGTTTTGTTGACCTGGGGTTTCTTGACGAGGGGTACGTGGGGGGCTCCCGGGGCTTGATCAATATACATTTTGGTGTATAACAACAGTTATACTATGCCATAGAGCTGGAGATCCCCCCCTCTCTTGAATGGGGACAACCCGAAGCTCTCAAGGTGATACTGCATACGGTATTAGGTGGCTTCGTACAAATACCAAGTATATAGCTTCGAGCTGCCACGCCCCATCTCGGTTCTTATGTAGACCATGTCTCAATAAACCATGTAGAGGGGCTTTCAGTAGTCTACCTTGCTTCGATATAAGAACATACGCTAAGCAAAGAAAGAAATATAAAACATCCCGCAAGGTCCGTGAAAAGGTTAACCAATCGAGATTCAGTCAGGATGTCTAAAGTAAGCTGACTGAAAAAGAGCATCTATCGGGGCTACTAGTAGTACGGTAGGAGTTTTGAATGCTTGCTAGGAGGGCATCGGACATGACAAGGTTCGATACTCTGAAGAGTGGTTTTCCGGTGGGACAATTGGCACTCCTCGAAAGAGATATTTTTCGAGAGATTAGTATGGATATTCGTACTGTCGGGGTTAACAGGGGATAGGAGCATAGCCCAGAACGGTGCATGCTAGAAGTTCTCGTCGACTTTAGGTGTCGCCACGAGCACGGGGGCAAATAGAGGGACTACGCTAGACTAAACTGCGAGTGTCTGTACTTGCACGCGGGACATCACACGAGCATCCATCCAGTCTCAGTCTTCGAATAGACAACTAGTCTGTCAGCTCTTCTCCGAGGTATGTTGACCGTCAGCAGTGACTGGATTAAGGCCACGGACAGATATAAACTGATATTTACCATCATGAAATGAAATACGCCCCATCCCATTGTATCTGTGAAGGTACCACCGAGGCAAGAACTTTGACGCTAGTCCATCCTGATTACCTTGGGAGGCGTGGGTATATTGGGTAGTATACTGTGGCTGCGACTTTGAGCGAAGCAGTTAGCCACTCATCGGGGGAAGCTAACTGATGGCGCGCATGGCTCGACATTAGACTGGTTAAGTAGCCGAAGTCATTCATTATTAGGCTGATCGTACCCTGGAAACGACCTTCCACCCGAGGACCGGTTGGCGCTCCCTAACTTCCCGAGATCCGTACGCTGATTCAGGCACACTCGGTTGAAGAGAGAGTGCTTGACACGGATCGATGTAGAAGAACCATGGAGACATCTACATAATCCGCGAGCATTGAAGACTGACGCTTGCCAATTGTACATACGAAGGTACATATGCACGTGCATACACGTATGGATGACCAGATAATCAGGCATCAACCGACGCATCTCCGCTTCGGCCGGGACCATACCGGATTGGGACGCAAAGCGGATCCGCCAGGTTCCCTTGGCTCCCCCATTAGGCAATGAAATCGCTCAAACCGCTGGGATTGTGGCCGTGAAACGAGGCTACGACGGACTGAGTCTTTCCCTCGTTCCTCTTCTCCCTCTTTCACTCGAGTTCCCTTTTCTCCCCCCCAAAATACATACCACGGTCAACTTGACGCCTCATTCCACCTCTCTACAGACTTACCTGATTCCTACGTGTTATCTCTCCCTCTCTCATTCTAATTTGCTCTGATTGAATCTGAAAAATGACTGCTTCGAATTTGACATCTATGAGATTCTCTGTGTTGGTGTATTTACAGCATGGTCACTGAGACAATGCTAAGATCGCCCAGACAGCCACAGGAATGCCCGTCCCAAAACACCTCAAATACACCCGGACAATCGCTGAATGGAAAACAATACAAGAAAACAAAAATCGAAAGAAATGACAGACGACCTATCACCGAGTTCCTTCCCTAAGCCTCCGTCTTGAAGGCCACCAGTCGCCTCTTGATCTCGTCCTCCGAGTCCTTGGTGTCTATATCCCGGAGCATACCACAGGCGACATCATAGATGAGCCCGTGAACCTGGAGACCCCGCTCGTGCATCGCTTCAAGCACTACAGCCTTCGACTTCAAAAGCTTGACACCCTCCCGGACGTTAAGCTCCGCCATCTTGACGGTCGCATCCTCCGGTGACATGGTCTGCAACAGCGCAAGGTTCTGTTCACGAATCTGGCGCAGAGGCAACAGCCAGGGATCGAGGATACCGAGTTGCTTGTTACCAAGGGCTGCTGCGATACCACCACACTTGGTGTGGCCGGAGAGCACGATGTGGTTGACCCGCAGATGACGGACGGCATATTCGATGACTGCACCCGAGCTGAGATCGCCGGCATGCAAGATATTGGCGATATTCCGATGGACAAAGACATCGCCAGGCTTTAGGCCTAGAACGACCGTCTCCGGGCATCGAGAATCGGAGCAACCGATCCAGAGAATTTCGGGCGACTGGCCATTGGCAAGCGTGGGGAACAGGTCCGGATGCTCCAGGGCAGTTCTCGCAGCCCACTCCTTGTTTGCCTGCAGCGCGGTGGTGAATCGGTCTGGAGAATAATTAGTCTCCGCTTGCGACATATCGTGTTTGTCGCACGAGAATGATGCAGAGGTTGAGAGGGAAAGACGTTGAGATTGGCCGATAACGGGCTGGGTACGGGCTCGGACCAAGGGAAGATGGAGGCTTCCAGTGCAGCCTTGAAAATCCCTCACTGCCGCTAGGGGACGAAACAATGATTGAGACCGCGGTACCAGCCTTGCGAGATTCATCATGATGGCAAATATGTTACAGGTAGGTGGTTGCAGGGTGGAAAAACAAGACGCCAAAATGGGCCCGGCAGCCAATGACTCAACGGACTCAACGGGACGGGGAAGAGGTTGGGGCAAAAAAAAAGGAAAAAAAAAAAGAAAACGAAAAAAGAAAAATGTGGCCAGCAAGCAGAGTCCAGTCACCACCAGTCCTCAGCCGTTCTTTGCAACGATGCGCTCCAGTCAAGATTTATCGACAAAATGAGAAAATGAAGATACCCCGCCAAAGAAAGGATACAGAAGACGAAAGGAGGGCAGGAAGAAATGGCAGAAAAAGAGGGCCCCGTCGTACAGCGACGATATCCGAGAATGCCAAGAAGGAAAACGAAAAGGAAGATGACCTGTGAACATACCTGGCATGGTGCTTCAAGACAACGCTAGTGGAACGTGATTTCGAAAAAAGGGTTTACAACGGATGTCGAAGCAGAGGATGTTAAAGAACAGAGTCGTTCCAGAAGAAGACGAAGAAGAAGGATCTCTTATCTTGTTGGGGGAAGAAGAATGTTGTTCTGTCTTGGCGCCGCGGAAAAAGGAACGCAAAAGCAGGGCGACTTTATAAAGTCCCGGTGAACGGCACAGATCGGGAAATACGGCAAAGCCTCCAGCCTGTGGGCAGATCCAATGCCACCCCTTTCATGCGGTATCTCTCGACGTTGCGTGATGGCACGAGTGATTTATCTCGTTTTGCCCATATTTAGACCTCTCCCACCACCTCTTGGGGGTTAAATCTCGCACCCGACAGGAACATTTCCTTTGTCCCCTGAGGCATTTTCCCACGTGGATCAACGATGTGGGGTGTGACTTGAGCAGATCGGGTAATACAAAGCAGCCAACTGGAGTGAATTGAATTGAATTGAACACATCGATCGATGTCATATTTGTCCCCACCCCCTATTCGTTTCGTTTCTATATATACATTGTGCTTTCTACAAATCCCGCATCCGTAGCTTTTATCACCCGAAAATAAAGAAATTAAAAGGAAAACGAAAACATGCATCGTTGAAACAGAAAAAGGCGCTACGTTTCAATAGAATCATGAGCTGCCTCCACGGCCACCAACATTGGCCAAGGCCTGCTTCTGGTCGTCACTGAGTTGGACCGTGGGTAACGGCCGAGCGGTCGAGGACGCAGGCGGCGAAGGCAAGAACCCGATCGTAACTAGGTAGGCCGCGTACAGACCGACCAACTCCTCGGTCACACCGGCCCCAGCGGAGGCATCGACGCCGGACCAGGCGGCATCTGCACGAAGGGAGGCAGCGGCATGAACATCGTCGAGTTCAGGGGCCTTGGTATTGGATGGGAGATCAGCGGTCACAAAGTGATAGAGGGGCATACTAAAGCCAACCATTAGCATTTCATCTAAGAACCTTGCGGCGCGGTTGACATGGAACTTACAGTGCATGCTGGGACGCTGGGTCGTCGTGCTGTCCGTCGTTGACATATTGCTCAAGCGACTGTGCCCACGGGACGTAGTCGACCTGGGGCACGTTGTAGCCGTACAGCTGCAGTGCTCCAAGGAATTGGTTGAATCGAAGACGGGGGTGGCCAGTCACCTGCGCGACACCAATGGGCGTGCATGGAGGCTGGAGGGCACCAGCGATGACAACGCGGGCAACATGATCGACGGGAACCATATTGACCGTGTTGTTGATGTTGGGGCGAGCAGAAAGTTGAATACATCCCTTGATCATACGGATAAGGAAGTCATCGGTGTTTGTGGCTGGTGAGATACGTGGTCAGCATATTGAGACTTAAAACGATAGTGTGAAGGACTTGAAATATACTTACTTCCGGTCTGAGAGTCACCGAGCACGTATCCAGGACGGATAATGGTTCCCTTTAAGCCTCTCTTACCCGCCTCTCGGACAAGGTACTCTCCTGCCCATTTGCTCTGGCCGTAACCGGTTCCAAGGCCTACGCTGCTACCCTCCAGATCATCGTCCTCGCTGATACCAGCTCCTCCGGCCGCAACAATACGTTCAGACTCTTCGACATAGTGATCACTGTCAAGCACGCTGGTAGAGCTTACAAAGGAGAACTGTTTAGGCTTTCCAGTGGCGCAAAGCTTCAGGGCGTCGATAGTACCCATAACGTTGGCAGGCTTGAGAGTAGAATAAGGATACACCCAGTGGACAAGGGCTCCGTTGTGGATCACCGCGTCGACACGGTTCGTAAGATCATCCCACAGCGCTTGAGAGAGGCCGAATTGAGGGTCTCCTAAGTTACCGCAGACACACTGCAGCCGGCTGGTCCACGCCTCATCCCAGAAACCGTATGCTCGACAGGTGGACCGGATACGCTCCAGTGCTTGCTGCTCGGTCTTTCCTCGAACCAAAGCCACCACCTTTGCCGTGGGTGTCTTACGGGTGAGGAGGTCGCGAAGAATATGCGCGCCCAGGAATCCAGTACCGCCCGTGAGGAAGATGGTCGGTTCTCCAGAGAGAATAGGCTCTGTCCTCTCAGGGAATGCCTTCGGCAGAACGTCTACCAGCTTCCGAGCGTCCTTGGAGTATTCGTCATCAGGTGCATTGGAGGTATCTTGGTCTTCGGCACCTGTCTTATTGTCACTGGCGGCGAATGATTCAAAATTCAACAAGCGGTCGATCTCGGCAGCGAACCCTCTAAGGGTGGGGCTGCGGAAGATTGCGTTCATGCTAATGTCAACGCCACGCCACTTACGCCGAAGATCAAAGAACATCTGCTGTGCCAGAATACTGTGTCCTCCAAGGTCAAAGAATGAATCGTCAGGGCCAACCATGGAAGAGGTGACATTTGGAATGCGCTGTGCCCAAATCTGAGCCAAAGCTTGCTCTGTCTCGGACAGGGCCTCCAGGACAGACGACTTGCGTTGAGGTGCAGCAGCACTGAGCTCCGCAGTATCTGGGAACGGCAATGCAGGCTTATCGATCTTTCCATTAGGGTTAAGAGGCATCCGCTTGAGCGGGATGAGCACTGTTGGTACAGCGTATGTCGGTAGCTTGCTACGCAGAAGCTCTCGAGCATCATCACGAAGGGGCCTGAATCGCACGAGCATACCAACCATTCCTTCAGCGGAGGTGTCGTCTTCAAGGCCCTTTTCTTGCAGCCACGAAGCCCACTTGCTCATATCCGGCACAAAGTAACTGACCAGAGTTGGCTCCTCGAACTTGTCTCGCCTCACCAAAGTAACATTCTCTCTCACCAATGGGTGGCGTGAGAGATGCGTATCAATCTCACCAAGCTCGATACGGAAACCACGAATCTTCACTTGGTCATCCGCGCGGCCGGAACATTCAACATCACCGGAAGGAGTGTATCTACCAAGGTCTCCACTGCGGTACAGGCGGTCTCTTGGTCCAACATAGAATTGCCTCCATGGCTCATTGCCACCTTGCGCTTGGGCTTGATCCTTCTGAACCCAAGATTGAGGATCAACAAACCAGTTCTTGAGGAACTTCTTCTCGTTCAACTCGGGGGAGCCCAAGTAGCCTTCTGCCAAACCAGCAGCGCGAACATAGATTTCGCCCACTTCTCCGATGGCGCAAATACGGCTTGGGTCAAAGCGGTTGACAACCAGCATCTGCACATCAACCATTCCCCGACCGGCTGGAATTACGTCCTTCATAGTGTCCAGGAACCCTTCGTTGCTGGAGTAGCTAGGAATTTCATAATAACTAACCGCACGCTGGGTTTCGGTTGTACCATACATGTTTACAATGTTGACATTCGGGGCCAGTCCTTGCAGAGATCGGCAATCTCTCTTGATCAAGATATCACCGACGAAGAAAGCGTGGTGAAGAGCTGGGAACTGTGCGGAAGCACCACCGACCAGAATCTGACCCATGGCGGGTGTAAGATGGGTTACACTAGCACCGTATTCCCGCATCCACTCCGCAAGCCGCTCATTCTGGATGTCTTCACGTGCCGGTACTAACAACTGTGCTCCCAGGAAAAGAGGAGTAAAGATGTCTCTCTGGATGGGGTCATGGGCAATACCGCTGAGCATCGTGAAACGGTCATTGGGGGTCAGCTTGAACGTTTCGGACATCCAGTCGAAATAGTATGCCAAGGAGAAATGACGTCCTCTCACACCCTTAGGCCTTCCCTCAGATCCAGAGGTGAAGGACAAAGTAGGGATCGAGTCTGGACCAACCACCACACCGACAGGCTTAGATCCCAAAGGTACCTGGTTGGTTAGAACATCTTGGCCATTGATTGATCCTCCAATGAGCGAACCGTCGTCGCGAAGTGCGAGCGCAGGGACTTCTGTGCGAAGCTCAAGGTTTTCATTGATGAAGGAGCGAACTTTGTCGGAAAGCTCGCCAGCGTCCTTAGTGGCCTTCTCAATATTTATGAGTGCCCGAGGACGAGCGACATCAAGGTAGATGCACTGTCTCTCTGGTGGATACGCGGGGTCGATGACGGAGAAAGTTGCACCGGCTTTAAGGATACCCATAACCGCCACCACAAGATCGACACCACGGTAAGCGTACACCATGACGACTTCACCTCTCTCAATGCCTGATTGAACCAAGTGATGTGCCAGAATGTTGGAGGCCTCGTTGATTTGCCTGTATGTGAATTCGCGGTGGGGAGAACGATCGGACTTGGTTTCGACCACACACAGCTTTTCTGGGTGTTTCTCGGCGTTCTGAGCAAAGATATCATGAATTGCACCCCGGAACTTGGACCAATGCAGGTCAGCTGTGGGGTCTGGCAGAAGTGCCCGCTGATCATCGGTCATGAAGTCAAGGCGGCCAATTGCCTCTTCTGGGCTGTTGGTCGCATTTTCAACGATCTTTCCCAGCTGCTTCAATATCGTGGATATCCTAGCGCTTGAGAAGAGTCTTTGGTTATAGTATGCTCCCAGTTCCGCTTGAGATGTTGACCCGCCTGCTGCAGGCGCAACATTCACGACTAGGTCCGTAGTCTCGAATGTATTGGCAGGGTATTCCTGAGACGCGGCGGGTGCATCGTAGGCTGCAAAGCGGAAAAGAATTGGGGATCGCTCGGACTGGGACTTCTGCTGGATGTAGGATCGTAAACTACCCAAAGGAACAATGTCGGAGGACCCTTGGTCGAATGCCTAGAATACTAGTTAGGAAGAGTCAATTATAGATATACCAGCTGTAACCATACCTTCTGAACCTTGGCGTACAATTGAAGGAAAGTCTCCGAGGCGTCAATTGGGACCCTCAGGACGAATGGACGGCCGTCTTCGGCCGAAGTGGTACCGATGGCAATGTCCTCATCGCCGGTAAGACGAGCAACAAGCACAACAAAGGCTGCCAAAAAAATGGTAAAACCAGAGGATGAGCCCGAAAGCTTCTGCAATTTTCCGTCCGTGTCTTCCGGGAGCTTGAAGGTTTCAAATGCCTCAATAGCTCTCTTGGGAAGCTCCTGGTTCTGGTTGTCGGGGTAATCCCGAGTAAGAGGACTAACAGTCAAGTTTTGTAACCTTTGAGCCCATCGCTCAAGGCGATCCTGTAAAGAGGCTGTTTCAACGCCCATGATTGCAGTGACAATGCCCTCTGAATGTCAAACTGCAGTGTAGGTTGGGAAATATGGACGATATTATATTGTGACTCAGTCAATTGTGGAGGGGCACTAAGAGAAAAAGTGCCGATTTCGCAGCCAGTCATAGCGGCCAAGCTTCTGGAACCCCACACTCAACATCACATCATCATCACTTACCGCCCACCGCAGACTAGGCCGGCTTCGGTTGGATCGACTCCAGAATGGTGAGGCATGCAGGCATCAAGAGTGGCTGTGCGCATACCAAATGCATTGCTTTGCACCTTTCCTAGTCCGTCCAGCAATAGGAGGTACCTGCGGTCTCCATATTACGACCACGAAATCCAAGGTACCGTCAGTGATTTTTTCTCGTTCAAATTACGCCCAGTGCAACCTACTCAATGCCGACAGTTGCTTGAACTGCCCATTCGTTTTTTTTTTCTTTAATTTATTCCCCCCTAAAGTTGACAGGACCACCCCTTGTTGTACACTCACTTGAAATGACTAGATAATCTTTTAACTTATTGTTGTTCGAACCCGCAAATGCGATTAGCTTTTATTACTTCCGATATCTCGACTTCTCGACTATCCCTGAACTGCTAACAGGTACATTCGAGGCGGGTGGAGGCTTAACCTATCTGCCTCCTATCCGTTGTACCCTGCATCATTAAACCTTTTGTCCAATCTCCAAAGTACATACATCTCTTGTCACGATGATTCCTCACAGGAGCACTGCGCTACTCACAATAATCGTTTTTGTCGCCCTTCTTTTGGTGATATTCTCAGCCTCGCCGAGCCCAGACTCTTCATCTGAAGAAGTCACTGGCCCAGCCAGATATGTACCCCGACCCAAGCTGCCTTCGTTGAGCGATCTTCATCTACCTTCATTTCACCCGACAGTTCATACGCCGCCCGAACCACAACCAAACAGCACCAGCGGCGAGTCGAAGTGGTTTAGCAATTGGGCTTGGATCAACCCGTTCTCGTCTTCCATAACCCTTGACGAGAACCGCTCCGTACTACCCCCTCTACGACACCGACCGTTCATATACACATACTACGAACCAACCAAAGGGAATGATGAAAAGGGTGCGGAACAAGCCGATGCTCAGATTCTTCTTGCGTGGCGCAGAGCTTGGTTTGCGCAAGGGTTCCGGCCTGTTATTCTGGGTCGCGCAGAGGCTATGAATAATGAACTTTATTCGCTGGTGCAACCCATGAAACTTACCCCTAAAGTTGAGAATGAGCTATTCCGCTGGCTCGCCTGGGGCCATATGGGTGATGGCTTACTTGCAGATTGGCATTGCTTTCCGATGGCGCGATACGATGATGACCTGCTGTCTTCTTTGCGACGCGGTACCGATCCGGCTGTGATTACCCGGTTTGACCGCATTGACAGCGCGCTGTTTGCGGGAGAGAAGACACGGATCAACTACGCGATCAAGGAAGCAGTTAAAAAGGCCTCGGAGACTTCGAACTCTATGTTGGATCTGGTTCCTCCAGAGTTCTTCAGAAATGAGTCCCCACCGACTTCCCTGGCTTTCTATGACCCTGCTACTATCCATTCCCACTACCCGACACTTGCAGAGGAATCTTCAACGACAGCGGGCCGACTTGCGTTGGCAGAGCTTATCAATGCACATTTACATACTACTTTTCAGAACGCATTCCCTGCCGGCATAGCTGTCTTAAAGCCTTTTACTGAACATACTACTGCTCTGGTAGAGCCAGCCTTGCGGCTCGCCAAAGCCCTCGTCAAATGTCCGAAATCCCCTGTGCCATCATCTTGTCCTCCAAACCAGCCGAAGTGTCATCCCTGCGATGCAGGAAAGCCGATGCAGGTTAGCCAGCCGGCTACCTACCGAAACACGACCCGGGTGTTCACCATCGGGACTCTCCCCCATCCCTACACTCTTATTAGTTTGCAGCAGGACTCGGCGGAAGTTACCACCCGCCACATCCGTCGCGAGACGGAGCGTGATTCATGGCTGACAGAGGTCACCAAGGAACAGTTGGGCGTTGATATTGGTGGATCGTCACGCGCCGTGGTTTTCAAAAAGGCCGTCGCCGACGACGCCGTGGTCGGTACTTCCTTGTGGATGACTGTCGAGTCGTTGCCTCCCGCGGCCGGCCAGCCCCTCCCATCTGACCTTTTAGACGAATTTGAATGGCAATTTGGATTCCAGATTCCTCGGGAGGATAACAATGTGGACTCTAAGGACGAAGGTGATGCCAAGGAGTCCGTGCAGAATGCCAATCCTAGCCGACAAGGCGTCGCAAAGGAGTACGACATCTTAAAACAGGCCAGGGAAGTCTTGAAGAGCAAGGAAACCAATCGGATTGGCATCAAAGACGTGGCAGAAGCCTGGAACTTGGCAGACACGGAAGTATGGCGATTTGTGAGAGCCTACCGGTTCGTATTCCTTGCCTAGCAATCAGACCTGTCTCCACATCCCCTACCTTTCCCCGCAGGAAAGTCACCGTGACTCGAGCTAATTAGATGCGTGATTTCCAGGGCCCGAAGTGTTGTGGAACGTAAGAAGTGGCAAGAGGACGAGAAAGACTTCGTTGGTGCGAAACTAAAGGATTAACTTTCTTGTGCACGTTCCTAAATGATTCAATTTTATGTACCGCTGCTTCGATTTCCTCAATGCGGCCTTTTCTTCTCTCCTAATGCGAATTGATGTAAAGTCTCTTGATCTTGTTTGTACACCACCGGTTGGAGCATCTGGAGCGGGCGTTGGTCTAATATTCTAATGTATTGTGAAAAAAGAATTCAAAAAAAAAAAAAAATGTAAAGTCACATCACTACGTATGTACATTGTAGTAGGAGAAGAGGAGATTAGCGATCACATGAAGTATTGCCGATGGTTTCCGCTCAGGGTTAAGTGCGGGATCGGATGGTGGCGATCCCCGCCCGGCAAGGGGTCTTGATAACGACTGTGGGGTTTCGCCTCCCCAGATAAGAAGATCACCATATCTATCAACACATACCTCATTTCCCTGTTTCACTGTACGGCATGGATACTACCCTATGCCTCTTTGATTTCACCCCTCACCATTAATAAATATATCTTCTTCATCAGATCCTCGTGAACATCCTCCAAAGTCCGTTTTAGCTGGATAGACAACAGATCTCTGGCTTGGCGTTTGGATCAGCTATCCCCGCACCAGACCGTCCAAGTTTTGGTTCAAGCAATTCACAATGGCACCCGGTATCTTGACGTCGCCGGGGCCTGAAGTCGCTTCTCTAAAAACTGGCTCGCTGGCCCAGTTAACGGAGGAATGGGATGATACCATTCGCTTCTTCTTGAATGGCACGAAAGTGACCCTCGACTCTGTGGACCCGGAGCTCACACTTCTGGAATACTTGAGGGGAGTCGGTTTGACAGGAACAAAGCTAGGCTGTGCGGAGGGAGGATGTGGTGCTTGCACGGTGGTAAGTGGTGTGCTTGAATTATTTGCAGACTATCGAGGATACTGATTTCGATAGGTTGTGTCGCACGTGAACCCTACGACCAAGAAGCTCTATCACGCGTCAGTAAATGCCTGTCTTGCACCAGTCATAAGTGTGGATGGAAAACATGTTATCACTGTCGAAGGCATCGGAGATGTGAAGAACCCCCACGCGGTCCAGCAACGAATTGCCATCGGTAACGGAAGCCAGTGTGGTTTCTGTACACCAGGTATAGTGATGGTATGATCCCTCTGTCTTATATCGAGTACCTGGCGTCTAACATCATGTGCTGGTAGAGTCTCTATGCCCTTATACGTAATAACCCTGAACCATCTGAACATGCTGTGGAAGAAGCTTTTGATGGAAATTTGTGTCGTTGCACCGGATACAGGCCTATATTGGACGCCGCCCAGAGTTTTAAAGCCAGTGGTGGCTGCGGGAAATCCAGTGCCAATGGTGGAACTGGCTGTTGCATGGAAAACAAGGCTGGCTCTGGAGGATGCTGCAAAGATTCCTCGGAGACGGAGACAGCCAATGGAGATTCTTTGAAGCTTACGGCACCTGGGTTCATAAGTCATAGGCCAGACACAGAACTGATATTTCCACCAACTCTTCACAAGCATGAGTTTCGGCCGTTAGTTTTTGGTAATAAGAGAAAGAGGTGGTACAGACCGGTTACTTTACAGCAGCTCTTGGAGATCAAGCATGTACACCCAGACGCTAAAGTTATTGGTGGCAGCACCGAGACTCAGATTGAAACAAAGTTCAAAGCGATGCGATATAGTGCTTCGGTCTACGTTGGCGATATTCCCGAACTTCGCCAGTTCTCGTTTCAAGACGACCACTTGGAGATTGGGGCTAATGTCTCTCTGACTGATTTGGAGTCAATATGTGATGAGGCCTTAGAGCGATATGGACCTGTGCGAGGCCAGCCGTTTACTGCTATCAAAAAGCAGCTTCGGTATTTTGCCGGGAGGCAAATTAGAAACGTGGCGTCCCCGGCCGGTAATTTGGCTACCGCCTCCCCTATCTCGGATTTGAATCCAGTCTTCGTTGCAACAAACACGGTACTTGTTGCCAAGTCACTAGAAGGGGATATCGAGATTCCAATGACCGAATTCTTCAAAGGTTACCGGACAACTGCACTTCCACCAGATGCTATAATCGGGAGTCTGCGTGTCCCTACTGCATCAGAGAGTAGGGAGTATTTACGGGCTTACAAACAGTCCAAAAGAAAGGATGATGATATCGCTATCGTCAACGCCGCATTGCGGGTTTCGCTTTCGTCTTCCCATGATGTGACGAGCGTAAACCTCGTGTTTGGCGGTATGGCTCCAATGACTGTATCCGCACGAAAGGCAGAAGCGTTCTTAATAGGCAAGAAATTTACGCATCCTGCAACCCTTGAGGGTACCATGAGTGCATTAGAACAAGACTTTGATCTGCAGTACGGAGTACCCGGTGGTATGGCTAGCTATCGTCGGTCTCTTGCTCTAGGATTCTTCTACCGATTCTATCATGACGTCTTGTCGGGGGTTGAGTTGAACAGTACGGACATCGACCACGACGTGATTGCTGAGATTGAAAGGGCTATCTCTTCTGGGGAAAAGGATCATGAGGCTTCAGCGGCATATCAACAGCGGGTATTAGGGAAAGCAGGTCCTCATGTCTCCGCGTTGAAACAGGCCACTGGGGAAGCGCAGTACACGGATGATGTACCTGTCCTGAAAAACGAACTGTTTGGTTGCATGGTTCTTTCAACGAAACCACATGCCAAAATACTCAGTGTTGATCCCTCTGCTGCTTTTGATATCCCTGGCGTTTATGACTATGTGGATCACAGAGATCTCCCCAGTCCAGAGGCTAATTGGTGGGGTGCCCCTGTGACCGATGAGGTGTTCTTTGCGGTAGATAAGGTTACAACTGCTGGACAGCCCATTGGTATGATCCTCGCAAAGTCGGCCAAAATTGCCGAAGAGGCTTCGAGAGCTGTGAAGATCGAGTATGAGGAGCTGCCGGCTATCCTTACCATTGAAGAGGCCATCGAAGCCGAATCGTTCTTCGAACACAACCACTACATCAAAAAAGGCGACACAGAAGCGGCTTTCAGACATGCTGACCGCGTTATCACTGGCGTATCGAGGATGGGAGGCCAGGAGCATTTCTACCTGGAAACCCAAGCGTGCGTCGCCATTCCCAAACCTGAAGATGGGGAAATGGAGATTTGGAGTGGCACACAAAATCCCACTGAAACGTGAGTTCGGCATCGCAAAATTATAATGAGAAGCTAACCTTGCTATAGTCAAACATACGTCGCTCAGGTCACGGGGGTCTCAGCTAACAAGATAGTCTCAAGGGTTAAGCGACTAGGTGGTGGATTTGGTGGTAAGGAGACTCGATCCATTCAACTAGCTGGCTTATGTGCGACTGCTGCAGCAAAAACGAGGCGGCCCGTTCGCTGCATGCTGAACCGTGATGAAGATATTATAACTTCAGGTCAACGTCACCCCTTCTACTGCCGTTGGAAGGTTGCCGTGACCAAGGAAGGGAAACTACTTGCCCTCGATGCTGATGTATATGGCAACGGTGGACATACACAAGATCTTTCTGCCGCAGTTGTGGATAGGTCCTTGTCACATATTGATGGAGTGTATAACATCCCGAATGTCCATGTCCGGGGTCGCATTTGCAAGACAAATACAGTCTCAAATTCCGCGTTCCGTGGCTTCGGTGGGCCGCAGGGAATGTTCATAGCGGAAAGCTTCATGTCGGAGATCGCGGATCATCTGGACATCCCGGTTGAAAAGCTTAGGATGGACAATATGTATAAACCCGGGGATAAGACCCACTTCAACCAAGAGCTCAAAGACTGGCATGTCCCCTTGATGTACAATCAAGTCTTGGAGGAGAGCTCGTACATGGAACGTCGAAAAGCCGTGGAGGAGTACAATAAGAAGCACAAGTGGTCGAAACGTGGCATGGCTATCATTCCGACAAAATTCGGCATCTCCTTTACGGCCTTGTTCTTGAACCAAGCCGGGGCTCTCGTTCACATCTACCATGACGGTAGTGTTCTTGTCGCCCACGGTGGTGTCGAAATGGGCCAGGGGCTGCATACTAAGATGACTATGATTGCGGCAGAAGCACTAGGCGTTCCTCAGTCAGACGTGTTCATTTCCGAAACAGCCACAAACACAGTTGCAAATACCTCATCTACAGCTGCGTCGGCCAGTTCCGACCTCAATGGTTACGCTATCTTCAATGCCTGTGAGCAACTCAACGAGCGCCTTCGGCCTTATCGGGAAAAGATGCCAAATGCCCCAATGAAAGAACTCGCGCATGCAGCTTACTTTGATCGAGTCAATCTCTCCGCTCAGGGGTATTATCGTACTCCAGATATCGGCTATGTATGGGGCGAGAACACCGGCCAAATGTTCTTCTACTTCACACAGGGTGTGACAGCCGCCGAAGTTGAGATCGATACACTGACCGGTGATTGGACTCCGCTACGTGCAGACATCAAGATGGATGTCGGCCGCACCATCAATCCCTCTATTGACTACGGACAGATCGAGGGAGCCTTCATTCAGGGCCAAGGTCTCTTCACGACAGAGGAAAGCCTCTGGCATCGTGCCTCAGGCCAGATTGTCACCAAGGGACCCGGAAACTACAAGATCCCCGGGTTCCGAGACATTCCCCAGGTTTTCAACGTCAGCCTTCTTAAGGATGTTGAATGGGAAAATCTTCGTACAATCCAACGATCTCGTGGTGTCGGTGAACCACCACTGTTCATGGGAAGCGCCGTGTTCTTTGCTATCCGTGACGCTCTGAAAGCAGCCCGGAAGCAGTACAATGTTCACGAAGTTCTCAGTCTACGAAGTCCAGCCACCCCCGAGCGGATTCGGATCAGCTGCGCTGATCCCATTATCGAACGGGCAAGAGTCCTACCTAAGGAGGGAGAGAAGAGCTTCTTTGTTGAGATTTAAGTCAGCTCATGTTACTAACCATTTTATCCATCTGTATCGTTTGCCAGGAGATTCTACAGCGTCCTGGTTTTATTATGAATTAGATTGAGAAACGTTTCTCTCACGAATGTATCCCCTGTTATATAGCATCTTTCTGTTTTGAAAGATATGGCATATCTAGGTCTACTACATCTATTCTATCTACAGAACTTAGTATTCGTACAGCTACATGGCTCAGTATCATTTGATATGTGATATGTGATTTGTATTTAGTAATTGACGAAGTAGAAGACTGGGAAATTATGCCAAGTGCCTGCGCATCTATTTGGCCTTGATAGAAAAAAAAATCAAAATATCACGGCTTCACTTGTGGACATACCCGTATATCCAACGCCGACTTGTATTCTATGTAACAGAATAAATAATCAAAAAAAAGAAAGACAAATTAGCTGGTAGAGCAATCGTGAATACCACGTGGATCAACGTTTCTCGATCCCATACTCAATATAGCTACTTCCACGCAGATCAGACGTCCCATCAACCTTGAGCGCTCTTTGACCAGCGTATCCCATCTTCTCATCTTCATAGAAATGACCGACGACGGGCGGGGTTTTCTGGGCGGGCTCATACCGAGGAGCAGGTTGCGAGGCAGCCTTTTCGTTGGGAACAGCAGTCAATGGGACCTCGGTGAAGCCATTGACATCTGGATTATTGTTTATGGGAGCGCCACCACCTTCGCCGCGGTTCTTGTCCCGGCCCCAGAAAAGGATCAGGGCGCGGATAAGGCCGAAAAGAAAATTGAGGAACCATATGCCCAGTATGCAAGCCGATATGATGGTTTCTGTCCGGATGCCTTCTTTGATTTTGTTGATGACCCGCATGACAACCTCGGTGATCTTGTTGGACGTCTTGTCGCCTGGGTTCGCGAGGAAACTGTCGGATGCGCTTGTGCTGTTGTTGATGCTGCTGTCAGCACCCTTGGAAAGAATATCGTTGGGTACATGTGGGAAGTCAACGTGGGCATGGTCATGGACCCAGGTAAGGCCTTTTTGGACAGATGCCACCTTGAGACCGATCAAGCAATTGAAGACGTCCTGTAGTGGACTATACAGGATGGTGCCTCCAAACGTGTCGTTGAGGACTCCTGTTGTCTTGTCGACGAAGGCGTTCAAGGTATCGTTAACGGCTGTTGTGCTGGTGTTTACCCAGCCGAAAACGTTCTTGTTGATGTCATTGCTCATGCCATCGATGACTTTGTTGGTGTCGTTCGCCCACTTGGCAGATGTGTTTTGTAAAGAAGTGACCACTTTCTCGGCGAACTCACCGACTTCGCCAGTTAGTTCTGGTACTGTCCTCTCAACAGCTTTTAGCAGCAAGTACTGGCAAAGGCAAGCGAAGAGTCCGGCAAGGGCGAGGGACAGGACGAATAGAGCAGCCGGTGAGGTTGCGTACGCAATGACCCACCGCACCAAGATCTGTCTGCGGCTATTGCTAAACCTGCTTGCTGCTCTGATGCCTGCACCTGCCGTGTGAGGGCGGGAAACAATATATACAACATCCATCGGATCATGCGCATCCTTTCGCACGATCTGCGAGCGCTCCTTCATGGTGCGCCAACGACGTATCTCCTGCCAGGCTGCCGGGACACAAACAAGAGTTGCAGCGATGATTAAAACTGCAAGGAAAATCTTGCGAGCAGCTACGATGGTTTCGGCAACCTTCTTGAAGAATGTATTGATCCCGTTGTTTTCATCGCAGAAGGTCAGCTGCTCCTTCGCAGGAATAGGTAAGACTGAGCGGTCGAAGGTGTAATTACCCAATGACCCATTAATAAGACCCTTGACTTCCTCAAAGGGGAACTTCAAAACGTCTGTGACAAATTTGTCAACTTCATCAAACGTGGGAATGGAGCTGTTGATCCTATTGATAGTATCGTTGATTGATCCTGGGAGGTGGATGTCCTTCAACTCTTCGACGTTCTTCGAGATGTCAAGCTTCGGCACTTCCCCACCGAAAACGCTCGCAACTTTGTTAATTCCGCTCAAGAATTTGTTAAGGCCAGATTCGAAAGTTTCGACTGCTTTGCCAATGTCTTCACCAACCGTTTGGACTGTTTTGTTCAAGAACTCGGTGGTATCTTGTATCACGCCGAGCGCAGCTTGAGTGCTACCTCTGACAACCATCGTGAATAGACAAAGGTATGTTTGGTACATAACTTTGATGAAAAAGATTATAAGCGCTTCGACTCCAGTGATCGTGAGCAGCAGCATGGATATGAGGCCTTTAACCGCTGCCTCAACACTAGAGGCTGTGAGCTCATTCACTCCCTGAGACAGATAATGGGGCATTGAAGCCATCGAACTCCCCATCGTCTCAACTGCTGTGCAGGCAGACTGGGCTTCGCGCTTCGCTACGTCCATGTCCGACTGCATCCCAGTCGCCGCTATCAAAACTCGGACCAGGACAAGGAGAAGCAAGATCGTCCAACGGTTGAGCCACACTTGTGATAAACGAGCTCGCAATCCTATATATGGTGTGATACCATCGGGGTGCAGCGGTACGGCACGTCCAGGACCGCCATTGGGATCATGCGCGCCATACGGCGGGAGTAGCGGGAAAATAGATCGTCCAGACCTCGAAAACACCATGTCGATGGGTTGGATGGGGTATAGAGGTGGGCTCCGAAAGGGACTGATACCTCCGAGATGGCACAGCGTGAGCAGTGGTGTTGAACGAATCCGTAGATGAAATTCTAGTATTCAGAAACGACAGGTAGTTGTATACCAAAGAGTAAGTGCCGGCCAGCAGCAACCTTTTTTTAATTGAACAGGGGACAAATTATTGGAGAGCCATAACACAAAGTCATGTATACTGCTGACGTAGAAGAATGAATGTAGTGACAAGGGAAATGTGTTGGTGGTATGCATAGAATAGGACAATAGTTCAATATAATGGATCCAACAATCAAGGGGCCCACCTTTTTATTATTCTTGAAAGGTCAAGCGATCGCCTGGGAACTTTGCGAAACCAGCAAAGCAAAAGAAAAAAAAAATTGAATGGACGGGGGGGGAAGCCGTCTTTGGGCGTAAACAGACAGCGATGTCCACCCGGGGACGTGCTATATGGGCCACTCATAAGCCGTAGACACGAAAATAGAAGTCTACGGACACAAGGATTAGCTGAAGATTCTGCAGAAGTTTGTTTCACTTTGTGCATGAGTAGCGGGCGGCTCTTCTCAGTGGTTTCTGCAGAGCGCTGTCGAGAACCAATATTAGTACACTCGAAGCCGGCGCTTAGAAGCCCGGCATTGTCCACCAATCCTTTATCCTCAGCCAGTGGTTGCCAAACAATGCGAGATGTTTCTTCTAAGAAAATACTTAGTCTCGTCATTATGTGGAGCCATGGTCAGGCTTGAATAAAGGCTTTATTTGTTGCCTCGAAGGCTTCAACATTTGCGACGTTTCTTGTTCCATCTCGCGCTGGGGTGTCAAAGATCAGAGCGCGCATTAACATGCCAACTGGATGCAAATTAGCCGCCCTACATTTCTGAGTACTGCGATCTAGCATCCTAGATGAGACTCTAATTCTGGTAGTTGTTAAAAATAAAAGTGGGTGCAGTGGTAGGTCGCGTATGAAACTTTTAAGCAAGTGGGTGGGAAATAGATTTATATCTTGACTCCACGTGATGGGCTCACTCAAGTACTATTATTTTATCCTAAGAGGCACAGGAGACATTGTAGGACTCTCGAGAATCTCAAATATGGATTAGACAAAGCGGTTTCAGAAATACCCTTGTATGATATGCCACAGCCACAGAACTCCACATAACATGGTCAGGGTTGAATAGTTCTCTATATATGTGTGATATGATTGCTCTAGCAAAGGGACAACCAGCCCATACAACATTTACGATTGTGTACTACCGCTTTCTAAAATGCCTCTGTTTTATATGGTACCTATATCTATACCCATGTTTATTTTTGTATTTTGTATCTTGTATTTTTTTTCACTCTGTTTTGGGAGAGTAGTATGGCACCCTCCACTCTGATACCCAAGGTACTCTCCACTGGCCAATATGTGCAAAAGAGTCAGTGCACGGGGATACTATAGCAATAGTATGTGCAGTCTATCTAGATCATATCACGCTTACCTTTTTTGCTATTATTATTGAATAAATGTAACTCGGTTGAGCAGTGCAGCATACAGACTCTTCCGGAACCTGTTGACCAACACGGTTAACATAGACACTGTTTACGGCTCGGCGACACAAGTAAAAGAAATCATTTCTATCCTAAAATAATGTATAGGAAATACATATTGAAACAACTATCTCAAGGAGATGTGAAAATCTACCATTGGGGCAATTATGATCTCCATCAAGCTCTGGGCTGTATGAAACAGGCCATAGAATGCTTCTTTAATTTACAGTTGATCTCAACCCTGAAAAGATATTCAATCATCTCTCTTTGGAGTTATATATCACCTACAATCTCTTGTAAACCAATTCGATTGTCCTTTTCTCTTTTTTTGAACCTCTATTTGAGGTGGCATAAAAGGCTTATCCAAATGGTATCACCCCCAGGCTCTTCAGATTGGGTTGCTTACCCAGGCAACAAGGCAGAAAATAAAGACCAAGGACAACCTCTAGAACAGAAGTCACTGTCAGAAAACAAAGACTCAATAGAAGATGCAATCACTTCACATGTGCTTAAGGTAAAGACAGGTCTTCAATTGGGCCAAGTGAGACTCAGTGATAGATATGTGCTGGAAGTGCAGCAAGTGCAGCAACTGAATAAGGCTTCTGACTTCACTGTCACGGATCGTGACAAGAACGTGACAACAAACACAAGTCAGGAATCTACCGAGATGAGTACTTCTACGAAAGACGAAATGGTTCTTTGTTCTGGTCAGTTGATTTACTGTAACTTTATTTTGCCTTATCTTGTTGCAACCTCTCTCGCTCTCTGTTGTACAGTAGTGTTAACCAGAAGTCTACAAAATAGAAGAAACCCAAAAACAAGCTCTTGAGAAGAAGAAGCTCCGCACAGAAGCCATTGCTTTCATCTGTGCTCAGACGCAGGCTCGCCTGGCCCGGTTTGGGGCATTGTCTGAGGAGATTTCATTATGCCGAACAAGTGAGCAATATCACTATTACCCCAACGATAGTAACAGCTTGTCTATTCCTCACCAGGTCCCTACCGAGCTGAGCATTACATCTACCGTCACGATGGAGCCAGTCCAGGCATCTAAAAAGAAGAAAAAGAAGAAGAGCAAGAAGAAGCCTAAGAAGCGAGTGCCCCTTGATATTGGAAGCATTGACTCCCTCAACATGAGAGAGTTGAACCAGGCCAGTCTAAGTGCGCGTGTGCCAAGCGTGCAGTCCTCAAGTGAGGAGGCACCCTCAAGTGATGGCCCGTCTTGTTTGACTCAAAGCCAGGATCTGTCGGAGTCCAGCCCATCCTTGTACTTACAGGAATCTAACCTCAAGACTAAGCATTTGATCTCTGCTGACCTGGGGAAGGACTTCGCAGCCCCTTGTACGACTCAATATAAAAACAGATTGCAAGTCGAAGGCAAGGATACGACTGAATGCCACGAGGGTTGCTCGATGGAGCGTGTATTGAGTACTGGTCCTCGTGAGCAGACCTACCGGGATGCACTTCTGGGTACAATGGATCACAGAGATAAAAGGCGAGTCTCAGGTACAGATCCGACCACAAAAGATGACATAGCAGAACACAACGCTGCGCTCCATGCACATCCAACCCCGCTTGCAATCGAAGAGTGGCCCAGTATCACTGGACAGACGCCAGCTGGTAGAGATACACGTGATACAAGCCCAAAGGCTGCTTCTTCGATCGATTCAGTCCAAGACGAGGAGGTATCAAACACCGGATCTTCCACGCGTGCGCAGCCATCGCGCCTTGGTCACTCTACACGCAAGAATAAGGCTTCTTCAAGGGAAAGACTGTCTCCTATACAAGAAGCGACAAGTGAGACGGCCCAGGGTTATCCACATGTAAAACCGCCTTCTCCTCATGCTGAGCGAGGTAGCATATCTAGCGAGGTTCAGAGTCACCTTACATGTACACCGAAGTCCTCAAAATCTACCTCCACAGGTTGGACTAGCGCCGAACCTCAGGGCACGCCACAGACCGAATCCTCGGAGATTGACAATACAGAAACCAACGACCACCAGAAGATTTCCACCGAGATCAGAACTGTTGTGATTTCCCAAACGAAGGGCAGCCATGCACATCCCTCATCATCTCTGAGCCTTGAGAGACCAGGCCAATGTGCCACAGCTGCACAAAAGTACATATCGACCCAAAAACCAGAAGGGTTTTTCTGGCAGCTCGATAGCCACGGATTCCCTTGCGCGAAGGCAGAATGTGAGAAGCGCTGTAATTTATGGGATGGCGCAACTGTCATCTGCCCCCGATGCGGACCATTCTCAGAAATTCGTTACTGTTGCAAAGAGCACCTACTGGAAGACATCAAGTACCATTGGCTGTACTGCGGACAGATGACCTTTGAGCATCCTTGCCGAGAGAATTCGATCCCCCGGGATGTGAGAGACGGACCACTTCTGGTTCCTTGTCTTCACCCTTATGATACACCCGAACGTCATCGCCAGGCCGTTTATTTCAATGCAAAGGTTCGTGAGGGGGACTATTTCATCTTCTCGGACTGGACCGATCTGGTGAAAGCCGGCTTCCCCGAGAACAACGTTGAGGTGCGGTGTTCAAGTCGTGTCGTCTATACCATTAGGTTCGAAGACGCAAGTGAGAAAGACCGGTTTCGTCGTGTTCTAGCGACATGTCTCTTCAGTACGTCGACTTCCTTGATATACCATTTATACCTACTAATGGCCCATTTCCTTGCAGTGACCATCGAAGTTACCGAACTTGTGGATTATCTATTCCGGCTAATTCGAGACAAACTCCGATCACTGGCTGCTCCCATAGAGCTTGAAGCCACGCTCAAGTATCAATTCCAACAAGAATTCTGCGTGACCATACAGCCACATATCACCGGAGAGAGACATGCCTGTGTGACCGACTGGGATGGAAGAAACCGTCGTAATTGTCAGGATGCTATCTGCCGAGCTGAATACCGTCGTTTGCTTGGATCCCTTGGGGGAAAGGGTCATTGTCAACTCATTGATCACTTGGAAGGCAGCTACTGGATTCTTCGAGCGGTGAGAACCACTCATCCTGGCGTCAGTGACGCCAAAGCGCGTATGTGTGGAGACGGTTTCAGCGACGTCGCGGATGAAGATAGAAGAGAGTTCCGCCGGGGTGCAGGATGGGATGGCGCAGGGACTGGAGACATGGAGATTGAGGGAATCAATGATGATTGACTAGTTCTTCATTTGATCCAGCGAAAGGGTTTGGACCGCACCGCCGTAGTCTAGAGGCTGGAACTCAAGACGCAGCTGCAATAGTCGACACTAGTTTTTTTGGTGATGCCTTTCATCCTTCCAGGGTCGATCTTTTATTGATCATGCATTAGAAGTTTCAAGGAACAACTAATATTCTGGAAGTCGAGGAAGTGGTCAGAAGAGAGATTTCAGGAACTGCTCGATGCAGGTCGTTGAAGCTCAAACCTTGGGACTGTCAAAGGGCCAATGCCATCACAACAACGGTAAAAGCCCCCTCAGAAAAAGAAAAGGAGAAAGGAAAAAAAAAAAAAAAACAGAAATGAAAAGAAATGAAAGTAAAAGAAAAGAGCTACTGTGGCCACCTCGGCCAGAGTTCTGTTAAATCTTTCTATGTAATCTAAAACCATAAGTCTAGCAGGGATAGCTCATGCCATTGCGGTTCTCTTTTCTACACCACCTAAAAAGCTTTTGCACTAAGCATAACTTCACTGTACAATATACTTCTTCAAGCCGCGCAGTCTCTCCTTGGCGGTCTCCAAAACATCATCATTTTTGCATACAGCAAACCGGAGATAATCCTCTGCAATATGGGCATTGGCGTCAGTGTAGAACTCGGTTGGAGGAATGGCCGCAACGCCAACCTCATGGATGAGGAACCAGCAAAGCTTGAAGTCGCGGGGACGGCTTGCGACATGAGGAGGGAAAGGGTAATCTTCCGGTAGCTTCACTGAAGACATGTTTGCGAGAACAAAGTAGCCACCCTCAGGGTCAGAGTACTAGTGACATTTGTTAGAGGTCATTCAAAACAGCTTGGGCTCGAAGATGTCATCTCGCGAGAACATACCGGAATGTTAAGCTCGTCAAATATCTCACAGAAGCGCTCCATCTTCTTCTTCATTTCGGTGCGGCTCTCATCCCAGAAGCCAGCCTTATCGGCTTGCTCAAAAGCAACAGCTGCAGCTTCCTGGAGGGGAGACACGCTACTGTAGCAGATTCGAGTGTGTGCACCAGCCACGTACTTGATCAGATGCTCAGGGCCAATGAGGTAACCAACCCGCCAGCCAGTAGCGTAGAAGGCCTTACCAGCCGAGCCCACGGTGAGAGTGCGCTCGTAGAGCTCAGGCGATAGTGTAGCGATCCTAGTAAAGGGAACATAGTAGAGACGGTCGTAGACCTCGTCAGAAAGGATGATGAGATTGTGCTTGATGCAGAGCTCGCCGATTTTCTCAAGCTCATCACGAGAGAAGACCTTTCCTACAGGGTTGTGGCTATTGTGGTGATTAGTATTTCGCTAAGGTGTGGTCACTGGGGCAAGTAATGCTCACGGCGAGTTCAAAACCTAAGGAGTCAGATGAGATGTACCGAGGAGGAGATAGGGGAAGCTCGCTTACAATCATTCTAGTCTTGGGATTAATAGTCTTCTCCAACTCTTCAAAGTCTATAGACCATTCCGAAGCTGGGGAGGTCCTTGTAGCTCCATCCTTGGGAGGGTGAAGGGGGACATATCGAATGGTACCACCGGGCATCTCGATGTTGCTGATGTATCTGTTCTTGGGTGTCAGACATAGGCAAGTTGTTGCGCCGTAGCCTACTCACTGGTCAAAGAAAGGTTCGAAGATTATAACCTCATCGCCAGGTTCAATGAATCCCATAAAAGCACTTAGCATTCCTTTGAATTGTTAGCCAGATAAATTCAAGCCGTCCCATACCATGATAGGCTATTATTACCTTCATTTGCACCTGTGGTGATCGTAACTTCGGTATCCGGGTTGAGCTTTCGGCCGAAGGATGGAGAATATGCATCCGCAATAGCTTGCTTGAGGCGAGGACGACCCTGTACCGAAATGAGCCGGTGTTCGGGTGCATCACCCTTCGATCATTATCGTACCTTGGTCGGGGAGTACTGGTTACATTCAACTTTGTCGAGAGCCTCCTTTGCGGCATCAATTGCAAACTGAGGAGGATTATAGCCACTGAGAGAGGGTATGTAATCAGCAGGTCAGGTCACTGCCTGGGTCCAAATACCACACTTACAAGAATCCCTGCCCCATATTCACAATAGGCTGAACGGGGGAAGCCGCAGCGGCCTCATTGACGATTGACCTGGAAGTCAATTAGACCGACGATCCAGCAACAGTTCTGTTCCAACGATTATTCCCATACCAAACATCCTGTCTTTGGCCAGCGACCCGTTTGGCCGGGCGAAATGGGTCAGCACGAGAGGTGGTCGCGGACATTGCTCTGGCGCGGGTATCGAGAAAGCGGGGTGACGTATGTCTCGAGAACAAGGGCTGTTGTGCTGGAGTCTTGAATCTCGCGATTGCGGTAGAGATGGAAGTCCGGTGGCCCGAAAACATAGGTGAAGAGAGGATCGAGGGTGACCAGGTGCGGGGAGAAAGTAATTTAATTTGATGATCCGTCGCAATTGCAGGACTGACTGTAGTAAGATGATAGGGTGCCTGAGGCTGCTGTTCCTAAACGGTGTAGGGCGCAAATGGCGTGCTTGGGCGTATGCATACGTAGCAAATGCCGGCATGGATGGGGTCCCTCGATTACTCATTGACACGAAACCCCACCCAAATCAATTAATGGTCGAATCGGGAAACGCGTGAGATCACGCGTCTGACCATTGTTTGAATTGACGGTTTGACGGATTATGATTGAATTGCTCTGACCCCCAACAACCCGATTCCCCATCTCCCTCGATGATCCAAGCACTATGGTGTCTTGTCCGATATGTGGGAACTCTGTATCATCTCTGAAAATCAACGACCATATTGATTCCAATTGTCAAAACTTTATTGATGAGCCAACATCGAACACTGGGGACCTGACTTCCTCGCAGAAGGCAGAGGTCCCCAGCTTTTTCCAGCCTACCTCGGCGCGGAAAGCATCCGCTCAGCCCAACTCGCACCCCGACTCCTCGCCTTCGCAGAATGGTACTCGCAAGAGACCCTCGGCGCCTGAAGCGGAAATAATAACCGATGGCAGCAAGAAGACGAGAAACGATGCGGAGCAATATGTGAAGCGGCCAAAAGTGAGCGCATTGCAGAAGGCAGCGCCGTTAGCAGAGCGCATGCGACCTCGGACTCTCGATGATGTCTGCGGTCAAGACCTCGTTGGCCCCCACGGCGTTCTTCGCGGGCTCATTGAACACGACCGGGTCCCAAGTATGATATTGTGGGGTGGTCCCGGAACTGGTAAAACAACGATCGCGAGGGTTATCGCTTCAATGGTTGGGAGCAGGTTTGTGGAAATCAACAGTACCAGCACTGGGGTTGCAGAGTGCAAGAAGATATTCTCTGACGCCAAGAGCGAGCTTAACCTTACGGGAAGAAAGACCATCATCTTCTGTGACGAAATCCACCGCTTCTCGAAATCACAACAAGATGTCTTCTTGGGGCCTGTAGAAAGTGGGCAAGTTACTCTTATCGGTGCTACAACCGAAAATCCCTCCTTTAAAGTCCAGAATGCGCTGCTCTCCAGATGTAGGACTTTCACCCTGGCAAAGCTTACTGATCAAGATGTCAAATCTATATTGGACCGAGCTTTACGGGTGGAGGGGCCAAACTACTCGCCTTCTACTCTGGTAGATGACGAGTTGATTAATTACCTGGCAAAGTTTTCGGACGGGGATGCCCGGACCTCCCTGAATCTCCTGGAGCTCGCTATGGATCTATCAAAGCGCCCGGGGATCACTAAGGAAGAGTTAAAACGGTCTCTGACTAAAACTCTTGTCTACGATCGTGCGGGTGACCAACATTATGATACTATCTCCGCCTTCCACAAGTCCCTCCGGGGCAGCGATCCGGATGCTGCCCTGTATTATCTCGCCCGCATGATCCAGTCGGGCGAAGACCCACTGTACATTGCTCGCCGTCTGATCGTAGTGGCATCGGAAGACATTGGCCTGGCAGATAACAGTATGCTCACTCTGGCTATTTCTACCCATTCGGCCGTGGAGAAAGTCGGGCTCCCAGAGGCGCGGATCAACCTCGCACATGCGACCGTGGCTATGGCGTTATCCAAAAAGAGTACCCGGTCATACAGAGGTCTCAACAACGCGTTCGCGGCATTGGCAGAACCAGGCATTGCCGGGCTACCGATTCCAATTCATCTGCGGAATGCCCCCACTCGATTGATGAAGGAACTAGGATATGGGAAGGAGTACAAGTACAACCCGAACTATTTGAATGGCGAGGTAGCACAGGAATACTTGCCTGAGAGACTTCAAGGCCGGAAATTCCTTGAGGATCTCGATCTTGGTCGTCAGGTTGACCCAGACCTCAATGGTCAGCGTTGAGAAAAAAGCCTTCATGGACTAAAGCGTTTAACTTGTCCTCCAAGCTCACGTATTATGCACGTGAGTGTGGCAGCTGAGCATTCTCAGCTGTGGGAATTGGTGTTGGGAACTGAGACCCGTTCAACCCTGATGAGCCAGATGCCAACATGGGCTATGAAACTACAAAGCCGCTCGAATCGCAGCTTCAACTGCCCAAAGGATGAGTCCCCTATGGCAGTCACCGGAAGGGCTGGAAATTCAATCAATGGTACGCCCATTGACAGTCAAGCGACTGAATGATTATGGCGAACCCGACGCTGACAGAACAACAAACTTGACCAACACTTTGCTAAAGAATATGAGCGTACTTTCGGTCCGTGATTTGACAGTGAAGATATGGTATACTGCCATTTCTCCAGGAGTTTTCGGTTTTTTTTTTTTTTTTTTTTTTTCCTTGGTCTTTTGGGACTCGCAGGGGGTAGCGAGCATGGTTCTAGTGCGGGCTAACTAATGAAGATAACCAACCTTAAGATGTAAAGTGTGGATTGTAGATACAGTCTTATACTCATATGTAAAGAAATCTACTCTGTGCAAGAAGTGAATGAGTTGGTATGAAATTCCGCTGTGACTGTAAATAAAAGAGGCACTGCTTTGATGAATGAATTTACTCCGCGTCACCTTGACTTGGTCGCGTCTCCGCAGCCCGACAACCTGACAGGCAATCAATCCTTCCAACCCATCCCCACAACAACCACACGGCTCAGAACAATTCTCCGACCCAATTTACCGTAACCAAAACCCTTTCTCTTATTTTACGGAATATCTGCCTCTTCTGACAAATTGATCACGTCCCGGTGCTTTTCACCGGCGATCACGCACCGCGGGATCTCATAAACACCAACCACGACAACAACCACCATGGCGTCGCAAGGGTTTGGCTCACGCTCATTCGCCTCCACCAGGCTACCTGACCGGTCTATGAACGCCAATCCGACTCCCTTCGCCGCGTCTACCTTCTCCCGCCAACGACTAGGAGCTCCAGGATCCGGCGACCAAGGAGCCGACGCAGTGAGATCCTCGCAACAGGCGCCACAGCCACCAGGGCATTCACAGACCCACGGCCCATCACAGGACTCGAATCCCCTGAGTCGATTAACAGAGGAACAACGGGAAGAGATCAATGAAGCTGTAGGACCCCCTTATTGCACTCCCGTTTAAAAAAAAAAAAAAAAAAAAAAAAAAAAAAAAAAAAAAAAAAAAAAAAAAAAAAAAAAAAAAAAAAAAAAAAAAAAAGGGCGGAAAGGACAGCAAGAAAGCTAACATCAACACCCTTCTTCTCAAACCAACAGTTCACCCTCTTTGATCTCGACCGCGACCAACATCTAGACTACCATGAGCTCCGCGTCGCCTTCCGCGCTCTCGGCTTTACTCTCCCCAAGCAAGAACTCATCTCCCTGCTCACCACCTACGGCGTACCCCGTCCCCAAGTCCAGCAGCAATCCTCAGCCCAACAACAACAACAGGCCAAGACCGCTCCCGCCACGAATCCCCAGCACCCGTCCAATCTGCTCATGCCCCTCTCTGCCTTCCAGGCCGTGACGGCGCTGAAGATCCTAGAGCGCGACCCCCGGGATGAGATTCTGCGAGCGTTCGAGCTCTTTGACGAGGGCGGCAAGGGGTACATCGATCTGGAGGATCTGAGACGGGTTGCGCGGGAGTTAGGCGAGACAGGACTCGAAGAGGAGGAACTCAGGGCTATGATTGAGGAGTTTGATCTGGAGGGCGTGGGTGGTGTCACCCGGGAGGCGTTTGTGAGTATATGTTGGCAGTGATTACCTTTGTGTGTCCTCCTTTCTTTCGCTTTTCCCTCTCTCTCTCTTTTTGTTTACGGTGAAAATTGGTTTGATTGTGTAATGTCCTCTGTTGCGAGATTTATCATGTTTGTTGGACTTGGCTTTGTGGCTCGATCCTGGGGATTGATTAAAAACCTTTTATGTTGTGTACAGGCAATTACTTCTTATGTCCTGAGAGTGATTGGATTGTGTGGACAGATGGTATCATTCTGTCACTTGATTCTGCATTGTCTGTTTTTCTTTTTGTTTTCTTTTTCTTGGCAGCATTTCGAATTTGTTGGATGTTTCCCTTGGGCATTGGATGGGCGCCTTATCGGTTGTGGGATTTTCCCCCTTTGGATGAATTATATACTAGTCCATTGCGTCTTGATTTACTGCGTGTTGGTATGGGACATTGTAATTGAGAAATCGGTGCTATTATAGACGTACGTCTGCAATTATGCATTTGCTCGGTCTTCTACGGGCGACCCATAAACGGGACAGTAATCAATATTTACTAGGTATCGCACTCCGAACACCCAAGGGAGCGCGCGTCTCAATTATACAAGGGCACTATTTATCAACCAGCTCGAGAACAAACATGACCAGGAAAGAACACCAAAAAGCCCAAGGCCACGAAGACCGAGAGAAGCAGGGGTCGAGAAGATAGGTATAGAGCAAACAAGACATGTCACCGAGTCTTCCATGCAAGTGCCACATATTACTATACTTGCGCCGGAGCTAAAAGAGAACTGAAAGAAAGAAAGAATACCGCCAGTATGCAATGTGCGCAGATTTGTCATGAGAATTCGTGTCAGATGAAGTGTAAAATGTATATATAGCAACAGATAATTAAGCATATCGAGGTGCTTGGTTACCATACGCTGGGGGCGGATATGGCGGCGGAGGGTCTGCAAGCCCCTGATATCCGCGCGGCGGCCCATTCGACCACTGATTCATAGGGATCGGTTGCTGCATAGGGCGAGCCCAAGGTCCATATGGACCGGCAGGCGGTGGCATGGGCTTTGCACTCGGTCGTGCCCGACGGCAACGGTTGATCAAGCACCACAGAATGGACAGAACAATCAGCCCCCCAACACCACACGCAACGCCGATGACTAGGTTCTTGTGGTCATCAATCCAGCCTTTGACACTAGAACCATCGCATTTTCCGTTCTTGCAATGGCCACCACCACTACAAGGGGTGCCGTCCAAGAAGTTCTGGTTGACCCCATAGCATTGACCAAATGTGTTAGAGGAGCAGACCACTTCACAAGACGAGCCATATGCAGAACAAGCATACGTTTCGTTGCTATGCAGCAAGCTACCCATGACGGACCGACACTGGTAATCTCGACTAGTACACTGTCCGCTGGCGCAAGTCAGGCCGGCTGAGGAATCACCACATTTCGTTCCATCTTTCTTGAAGGAGTCAGAAGGGCAAGTACTCGACGAGCCGCTGCACGTTTCTTCCTCATCGCATTCGCCACGGCTGGCTCGACAGACAGTTCCAGCAGAAGAGAATTGGCATTTCGAGCAGCAGCTATCATTGGCGTCATCGCAAACCGCGCCGCTCTTGAACTTACACGTTTTGGCATCACAGCAACTGTTTTCTCCACAGGACTCTTCCCCGCCACAATCACAGTCTTCGCCCGACTCAACAATGCCATTACCACATTGATGGCCAGTATAGGTGGTGACCCCTCTGTTGTCGGAAAGGCAACTGGACTTGACGCTGTTGCGACCCAGGGCCGAGCAAATGTTCCCGATTGTACACTTGGAAAACTCGGTGATATCTGTGCCCGTAGTGGGGTTCATAATATACTGCCCCTTTGCATCACAGGAGGATGCAGTTAAAGGACAGCATTGCGATGATGCCTCGAGATTTTGCCCACATGTCTGGGTATCACAATCATGAACCGCTCCGAACGTGTGGCCCGACTCATGCGCAAAGATCTGCCATCCACCACCGGAGGAGCGGACGACGACGTTGGTGCCACTGACTGCGTTCGCAGCATCTGATACAACATCTGCATTACACAACTGCCCAAGCCATGCCAACCCAACCTCGCTGCCTGTGGGGCAGTTGCTCATCAGGGTCCAATAAGCATTGCTATCTTTTTGCTGCCCACGCCACTTGGAAAACTTATCCAGTCGAGATGAGATATTCCCCTCGGAACATGGCATGTTCCACTCTGCTGAAGCGGGAGGAGTTTGTGGGCAATCCTTTTCGGTGATGGTTAGATTGCGTAGGCCGATGGAGATATTGAAGGACTTCTCATAGATGTTCGATGCGCTGTTGACAGTATTTATGATCCATTTTTGGGCGGCTTCTTTGTCATCAAACGAGCCGGTGAAGCCACAGTCCGTAGCGATACCGATCAACGCGACTTTCTTGGTGTCGGGGCAACCAGACGTATCACCAATGGTCGACTTCAAGCTCACACCACCACTGTTACCCGAGACACCCCCAGTGTCAGATTGCCGCTTGGTGAGTCCGAACAGTGAATTGAGAGACATAGCACCCCATTGACTCATGTCCTCCTCGAATTGGAGAATCGGGTGACTTGGGTCGGCGTTGAAGCTGAGTTTGTCGGCTTGGCACGACGAGGAAACGGGGAATGAGCGCTTCAAGTCGGTGTGCAGTTCCCGGATCATATCAGAGTCCCGATAGAAGACCATGTATTCACCTTTCCGGTCTGGGATGTCCACATCTTGCTGACGTTTATTTTGCAGGTATGTTGATTTCAACTCGACATGATGTTTATCGTCGTGGACGCTGAAAACTCCTTCAAATAGCGGTTGCGATCCGTCATTCTTCAAGTAAATCCGGGCCCATCCTACAGGATCCCACATGCCTTTCCCTCTCCCAACCAACGCACGGCCTTTGAAGACCTTGTGTTCATGTCGCTCGATGGGCTCTTCACGTTGAATGTTTCCATGGCGATCCAAATACTGCACATATGCGTCTTCGGCCAGGATATCATGGTTCGGTTCTAATTCTAGTTTTATTCGTTGATTCTTGTCACGCAGGTTGAAAGTGACATCGAAATGAGAAAGGTGATCGACTTGATGGGAGGAGGTATGAATTCTAGGATGATCTAGAGTCGATATACGCTGAATAGCATTTGGCTCCTGCGACCGAGCTGTTCAATATTTCAAGGTTAGAAACTGGTAAACGCTGAGTGGTTCGGGGAGGAAAATTTATGCAAACCGACCTTCTACATGAGCTGCAAGGAGTGAGATTGCACTGGTAGCAAACCAAAACGATTGTTTGAACAACCTCATGACCGCTGCTGGTGGCTAACGCCCAGGGTGTTAATCGATTCCGACCGACAGATGGGCAGTAAGACAATGGAGTGGGCGGAAAAGTCTAGAGGTCCCCTTGGCCGAGCAACATCAACAGCATCAGGCAACAACAATAGAAGCGATGCCGCCGTTTCAAACCAACTGACCAAGTTCGATGTAATAAACGGTAACTTGGTTGATTCTGGTCGACAGTTGCTCTCCCGCAACTCCCAGTCAACGGTATAAGCACGCAATATGCAAGTGAACGATAGGGGGATCCTTCCAGGCAGCGAGCAATCGGTCAACTAGAGACGCCACGGCGATACGCTTGGCTGGGGCGCAGCAGTCTTGGCGGATGCGCCGATGTGTTGCTGGAGTGAGCGAGATCAACAAATCGAACGAGCGTGATGAGGTAGACGGAATCGGAAATGGAGAGGGGATATCTCCAGGGTATGGAGGGAGGAATAGAGAATGAATGGGGGAGGGGAAGGAGGTTGTCGTGGAGATCAACCGGCGAAAGATGAGATGGGATTCGGAAGTCGGATGTCAACACGATGCGGGAGGAATGAAAGAAAATCGGGGTTCAGCAAACTAGTAGGCTGAGAGTGGGTTAGGAACGGTCCCTTAGGCGGATTAGTGAGCGGATCAATTGGCTGCCCACAGCCTCAGGGTTGGGATCGGCGGGGAACTGGCGCGTTACCTGTGGCTGGAACTTTTAGTGCTGACAGTATATAAGGCGATATTAATGTTGACGGGAGGGACAGAGGAAATGAAGACAGTTTGAAGACAGAGTCTTCCCCAATCGTACAGAGTCGTACCTCCAAATGCTCCAGGGCTGTCGCGGAGAGATTCCCACCAAGGGACAATATAGTAGTGGATCTGAGACGACAAACGATTTGCCAGGATCATGTGTTCAGGGTCTAAACTCTAACAGGACCAGCGCAGGGTAGCCCTTAGGATCCCTTATTGCCTAGGCATCCAGATTTCAGCCAAAAGATAGAGAAACAGAAACAGAGGGGGGGAAAGTAAAACATAAAAAAAAAAAAAAAAAAAAAAAAAAAAAAAAAAAAAAAAAAAAAAAAAAAAAAAAA